TGGAAGGTATAAGTACCCGGTCGGTCCCCACCAGGGACCAGAACCGTCGCATACACGGTGGCGAACGCAGTCTCGGCACTCCGAGTACCAAACGCTTCTAAATATCTTCGCGTCGTGTCCACTCGATTCCCTTGTGACTAGTGGCTAGTGTGGACCGTAAATCTAGAAAAATGGCACCGCAGACCAGTTACGCGCCTGTGGCCGGTATGGAATACGAAGAGCCGGTGTCCAGGACGTACCAGTACAGGAAGGTGATGAAGCCGATGTTAGAACGGAAGAGGCGAGCAAGAATCAACCGCTGCCTCGACGAGCTCAAGGATCTGATGGTGACGGCTCTCCAGGCCGAGGGCGAGAACGTGGCCAAATTGGAGAAGGCCGATATTCTCGAATTGACTGTACGTCATCTCCACACCCTCAGAGACGCCAGAAGACTCACCCTGACGCCGGAGAACAGCTACGCGGACAGATTCAGAGAAGGATTCACGCAATGCGCACAGGAAGTGTCCTCGTTTCTGTCGACTCCTGTGGCCGCCGCGGTTCATCCCGCCGCCGGTGCGCAGTTGATGAGACATCTTGGCGGATGCTTGAGAAGGCTGGAAGGACCTGCGGGAAACAGTTCCTCCGGGAATCAGACGAAGGTGGCTCCTGCTAGTCCTGCGACCAACGTGATGGTCAACGTGCCGCAGAATGTTTACACGCCGCCGCAGAGTCCTGTCAGTGTCGCCAGCTCTTCGGGAGAATCCACCGAATCGAACGCTGTATGGAGACCTTGGTGATGAAGAGACCTTGGTGTTTGTTCATTCATTTGGACGTACCATTCCTTCCTGGTGAAACGAAGATTTTTGGAGGGAAAACGACGAATCATTGTCTTCCATACGTTGAATAATTGTTGAGTCTCGATTGAGAGACGCAGTTTGTACATTCGCGTTGTTCTACTTCCTTTTTCTCATTATTCTATGTAAATAATAGGTGATGAAGCTTTAAGTGACCGTCTGTGATAGGGTTCAATTCCGTACCTGAGATAACTATGTTCTCGTAATGTAAGATGATTATTATTATATAGATTATAACTTGTTATGTTTAAGAGACAGTTTTCCATTTTTTTTTTTTAGACGTAAAGATACAGTCGGTGTTCTTTGTTAAAACCGCGCGTCGTATTCAATAAACGGATTGTTTTAATACTAGTTGAATTTTTGTTATTTTGTTTTCCTGGTTTTTTTCCTTTCCATTTCCTGATTATTTTTTAATTATTTATATTGTTGTTGGTCTTATGTGTTTGGAGTTAGTAACAGGTTAATATTTGCGGTTCGAGGTTCAAGAAATATGTTAGAGAAAATTAAATAGCTCAGCAGATTTTAAATATGGTAGAACTTTATATGTAAATTGCTTTGTTCAGTAAATTTTTGTTTTTATTGATTTTATTAGTAAATATTTGATTTTATTCGGATTTGAATTCTGTCTTAAATAATTTTGTTGATGTTATAGAATTGATGAGTATTCGAATTTCAATAGTTAGTAATAACGTATTATCCTATAATATTGAAATCAATCACTTAGACGTTGCTTTTAATATAAGTATGGAAATTAGTAAAAACTTATTGCTGTAACTGGTTGTATTTCATAATAATCAACAAGTGGTTTGTACTTTTCAAGCTTATCCAAACTGATTGAAACTTCTTAAAATTTATTTAAACTTATTGCAACTCATTCAACTTAAGTGACACTTATTAAGAAATCACTTATGTTAGATAGATTTAACGCAGTGTATTTTTAAGTACATATAGTTCTTTAGATAGAAAATTTCACAAGTTGTAGATATTTTTATCAAAATATCAATGACTAACACAAAGTGAAAAATGTAATTATTAAGAATGAGTGACTGTTTCATTGAAAATACAAATAATTAATCATGAATATTTATATACATATCATTGAATAATAAAGATATTCAAATTTTAAATATTACACATATATATTTGAGGAAATAATGCAATTCTGGAGAAATAAAAAGAGAGATTCATTTTTGTAATAATATTAAAGTATTTTGTAGAATTAGGAGTAGTGAATGAAATTTATACTTTTATTTAAAATTTTACTATTTATGTATTATATTACTGGTAATTTAATATTGTAGTACATGCATAACATGGATATTTTATTATAATAATAATGTAATACTAATAATAATAATGGAGATTTATATAATCATAATGAGGATTTCAAAATAGGAAGATGTAAGAATTTGGAAATATAAAGATATGGAAATTTAGAAATTTAAGAATACATGTATGAATCTAGGGATATAGAGATGTAGGTATATAACGATTTAGAGAAATAGAAATCTAATAATTTAAGTATCTGGGAGTATAAAAATTTAAGAATCTAAAGATCTATAAATGTAGAGATTGAAGAATCTAGGGATTTCTATGGATCAGATGATATAGAAATCTAGAAATGTAGAAATCTGAAGATATAAAAATTTTTAAATCTATAAATCTATAGATGTAGAAATCTAAAATTTTTAAATCTTGAGTTACTGAAATCTAAAAATACAAAAATGAGGGATTATACGAATCTAAAAATCGAACATTCTCAAGATAAAAAAATCTAATAATCCAGAAACAAGTCTAAAAATTAAAAAATCTAAAAATCCATAATTCTAACAATCCCTGAATCTAAAAACTTAAAAATCTAAAAATCCATAAATCTACAAAATGTACTAATCTAAAAATCTATAAGTTCAAAGATCTAAAAATCAAAAAATTCATATATATATAAGAATCCATGAATCTAAAATTCCAGAAATCTAACAATCCATAAATGTAGAAACCTAGAAATCTGAAAATCTAACAATCTTTCAATCTAAAAGACTAAAAATCTAACAATCCATCAATCTAAAAGACTGAAACTCTAAAAATCCAAAAATCTAAAAGACTAAAAATCTAATAATTCAAAAATCTAAAGGACTGAAAATCTAAAAATCTAAAAATCCATAAGTTCAAAGATCTAAAAATCAAAAAATTCATATATCTAAGAATCCATGAATCTAAAATTCCAGAAATCTAACAATCCATAAATGTAGAAACCTAGAAATCTGAAAATCTAACAATCCTTCAATCTAAAAGACTAAAAATCTAACAATCCATTAATCTAAAAGACTGAAAATCTAAAAATCCACCAATCTAAAAGACTGAAAATCTAAAAATCTAAAAATCTAAAAGACTGAAAATCTAAAAATCCAAAAATCTAAAGGATTAAAAATCTAAAAATCCAAAAATCTAAAAATCCAAAAATCTAAAGGATTAAAAATCTAAAAATCCAAAAATCTAAAAGACAAAAAATTTAACAATCCACCAATCTAAAAATCTAAAAATCCAAAAATCCAAAAGACTGAAAATCTAAAAATCCAAAAGACTAAAAATTTAACAATCCACCAATCTAAAAATCCAAAAATCTAAAAATCTGAAAGTCTAAAAATTTAATAATCCAAAAATCTAAACATCTACTACTCCATAAATCTGAATCCCCCAAATTCATCACCGCAAACATGCACACCTCCACAAACCGCAATCTCGGTACCTTCAAACATTTCTCACAAACAGTCCCATCAGCCCACACACAAAGTGTATAACCGACAAAGTTTGATCAAAATTCCCCCGTACTCGATTGATAATTTGAAAGTATGCGCGCGCATTACGTTAAATCCTTGTTCGTTCGCGCCCTAAATTGCCGGTCACCCGTTGCATCGTTCGATCAAAAACCGTAATAACGCGCGCAGCTGTTTTTTCTGGCGAAGTAAAAGATCGGCGTCGTATGATTGCGCCACTTCAAATTTGCAAGCAATCATCAGAGGTTTATTCGTTAACGGCGATCGATCAAAAGCCTCTCCGAGACACTTACTTCCTTCTTCGTCTCTTTTTATTTCTTCATCGAGCTTTCCCGCAACAACGACGACGTTTTTTACGTAACTGGAACGTACCGGTACGTGCCACGGAAGTCGACATGACTACGCTTCTTTTTCTACACCGCTGTCGCTTTTTATCGCCGTCTCTGTCCGTGATCGATCATTTAACGCGACTCCGATCACGATCCGATCCTATCGGTAGAACATTAACCCCTCCGATTCGGTTCCCAGAAATTCTTCTACGCTTCGGGGTATATTTATTTTTTTATGCTTGCAGGGAGATTTCTTATGCTTGCGAGGAAATTTGTTCTTCGTATGCTCGCAATTTATTATTATTCTTATAAGGAAATTTATTTTTTTATACTCGTAAGGACATTTATTTTTTCTATGCGTGCATTTTTTTACACTTGTAGGAAAAGTGAGATTGTTGGGAAATGAATCTTTTTTAAGCTTGCAGGGAAATTTATCTTCTTTAAGCTCGTGAAGAAATTTATTTCCTACAAACTTGCAGTGAAATTTAAGCTTGCTGGAAAATTTATCATTTTTAAGCTTGTAGGAAAATTTATTTATTTTAAGCTTGCAGGGAAATTTATCTTCTCTAAGCTTGTAAGGAAATTTATTTTCTTCAAGCTTGCACAGAAATTTATTTATTTTAAGCTTGTAGGAAAATTTATTTCCTTTAAGCTTGCTGGAAAATTTATCATTTTTAAGCTTGTAGGGAAATTTATTTTTCTGAGCTTGCAAGGAAACTTATATTTTCTTTTTAAGCTTATTGGGAAAATTATTTTTCTATAAGCTTGTATGAAAATTTATTTCTTTTAAGCTTGCAGGGAAATTTATCTTCTCTAAGCTTGTAAGGAAATTTATTTTCTTCAAGCTTGCTGGAAAATTTATCATTTTTAAGCTTGTAGGAAAATTTATTTCTTTTAAGCTTGTAAGGAAATTTATTTCTTTGAAGTATTGCAGGGAAATTCATTTTTTTTAAGCTTGTAGGGAAATTTAATATATTAATACTTAGTAATTTAGAAATTTGGAGATTTGCAAATTTGAAAATTCTGGATCTACGTAAATAAGGAATTTTAGAATTTTGATACTAGGTAATTTGGAAGTTTGAGAATTTCGACACTAGGGAATTTGGTAACTTGAAATTTTCAACACTAGAAAATTAAAGAATTGGAGAAATTCGAATCTAGGGGATTTTGCTAATGGGAAATTCTGAAAATTGGTAATTTCAAGATTTGTAATTTCTGGAATCTGGGGATTTTTCAATTTTTTAGTTTGAAAACTAGGTAATCGTCACATTTGAGAATTTTGTCACTAGGGAATTAGGAAATTAGAGAATTTCAAAACTATAGAATTTTGATTATTAAAAATTCTGAAAATTGATAATCGAAGGATTTGTAAATTTGGGAATCTAGGGTCTTTTTAATTTTTTAATTTGGAAACTAGGTAATTACAAGATTTGACAATTTTATCACTAGGGAATTAAAAAATTGCAGAATTTCAGCACTAGGGAATTAGAAAATTGCAGAATTTCAAAACTAGGGAATTTTGACAATTAAAAATTTTGGCAATTGGTAATTTAAACGTTTGTAATTTTGGAATCTAGGGATTTTTAAATTTTTTAATTTGAAAACTAGATAATTATCATATTTAAGAATTTCAGCGCTAGGGAATTAGGAAATCGAAGAATTTCAAAACTAGGCAATTTTGACAATTAGAAATTCTGAAAATTGATAATTCAAAGGTTTGTAATTTTGGAAATCTAGGGATATTTTAATTTCTTCAGTTTGAAAACTAGGTAATTACCACAGTTGAGAATTTTGTTACTAGAGAATTAGGAAATTGCAAACTTTAGAAACTAGGGAATTCAGAAATTTTAGAATTTGGTATATAAATTTTGTATACAACAAATTAATTTTCAAATTAGAAAATTCAAAAATTTCAAAACTTCACACCTTAAAATACTAAAACTCTAAATATCTGCAAACCTAAAAACTTAAAAATATTCAAATCTGTCACCTTAAAAACTTAAAAATCCTAAAAACCTAAAAGTATAGAAATTAAAATAAAATTACAAAAATATTAAAATATACATATTTAAAACCTCAGAAATTTCTCCCACAGAACACAAAAAAGAACCGTAAACTCGTTCTCAATTATCAAAGTCAATCACCCGTGCTCACAATAATTAATCATCTTAATTACTACAAGCCCGGACGTCTCCTACATTAAACCAGACATGGAAATTACTGTAACACTTAACGTGTAAAAATACCCGCCTGCACAATCGTAATTTTCATCTTGTAACATAATCCTCGACATTGATCTCGTATAATTCTCGAAATTACGCATAAAATGATTAATTTCTGTTGCAGATAGCGTGACTTCGATCACAGGATGCTAACAGCTGCCGTTCGCATAATTTAAATAGGTATGTGATCAAGCCGCCAGAAAATTTGTCCGACGCGATAACGAGTCGCATTTAGGTTGTTTGGAGTTTTATAAATATTTACGCGACGCGCTTATACCCTGTACACTTTCTTAAATGCCTCTATTTAACCGCGATCGCCGATTAATGACGCTACAAGCTGCGATTTCAATAACGTCGTTTCGCGAAAACGATGTCGGTACATGTCCCCTAAAGGAAGTCGTTTAACTAATGGCTCTCAAAAGTAGGATACTAAAAAGACCGAAAAATACAGTACTCGTGTAGGTAATTCGAACTTTTAAATGACATTCACTCTTCAAAATGAAAATTAAAATATTAGATAAAACGTAAAAAACGTAGGTACGAAAGTGTATCCGCATGAAAGTCGTCGATTGTCAAAAGTCGATATCTCGAGAGCGTCCTAACCCGAAGATGCGTTACGCGAAAAGTAATGAAATGATCGCAAATCCAGCGGTGAAACCGTGCGCGAAGAGTAATCGTCGCCCGCTAAACGCGGTAATATTTGCCCGCAGATGTTACAGAGTGTCCGGGATGGACTTAATCGCGTACAATCATCGCGAGATCGCGAGCATGTCGAGCAGCGTCGACGACGAGGACGACGAGATTGAGAAGATCCTGCCGTACGTGAACATCGAGCAACGTTTGTTGACGATCGAGCAGCTGGTGTCCGGTGGCGACAAGCGCTGCAAAATGCCGTTCAGGAGTAGCCTATTTTCGAACGTGCCGCCTTACATCATGTTCCAGTCGTTCGACAGCAAAGGGCCGATACTGCCGTACGAAGTAACCAGACACCTGAAATGGCGTTTGAGCACGATCACACCGTTAATCGTACGTCGTACCTTGATCAACTCAGGTTATCGGCTGATGAAGAAGTGCCAGGAGTGGGGCGGCACCTGGGGCAAGTACATGAAGTCGGTGTGCTTCAAGGAGCTGAAGGAGACGCAGAAGATCAATCACTTCCCGGGCGCGTTCCAGATCGGCCGGAAGGACAAGCTCTGGCGCAACCTCAGCAGGATGATGTTAAAGCACGAGGTTCGGGAGTTCGACTTCGTCCCGATGACCTACGTGCTGCCGCAGGACCTCTTCTACTTCCGCCAAGTGTGGAAGAAGTCCGGCCACAAGGAGAAGTGGATACTGAAGCCGCCCGCGTCGGCCAGGGGCAGCGGCATCAAGGTGGTGCACCGCTGGTCCCAGATACCAAAGAAACGCGCCGTGATCGTGCAACGGTACCTGTCCAGGCCCAGACTGATCAGCGGGGCCAAGTTCGACCTGCGGCTCTACGTCCTGGTCACCAGCTTCAACCCGCTCAAAGTGTACATCTACCCGGACGGGCTGGTCCGGTTCGCCTCCGTCAAGTACAACGACGACATCAACTACCTCAGCGACCGTTTCATGCACCTGACCAACTACAGCATCAACAAGACCAACTCCACGTACACCAACAACGACTGCGTGGACGCGTGTTCGGGCCACAAGTGGTCCCTCAAGTCCCTGTGGTCTTATCTGGAGAGGGAGCACGTGAACGTGTCGAACCTGTGGGCGTCCATGAAGGACATCGTCGTCAAGACGATCATAGCCGGTGAATCGTCCATCAATAGTCTGACCACTGCCAACGTGATGTCCCGTTACTGTTGCTACGAGCTCTTCGGCTTCGACATACTCCTGGACGAGGACCTCAAGCCTTGGCTGCTGGAGGTGAACATCTCGCCCTCGCTGCAGACGTCCTCGCCGCTGGACACCGCGATCAAGGGACCACTCATCAGGAACGTGTTCAATATGGCGGGCTTTCAGCTGCCGAATACCTTGTCCAGCGAGGATACCGAGAAGGTGGCGAAGAGCTATCAGCTCAACAGGGTGTGTCACGATTGCAGACTGTACAGGACGGCGCTCAGCCTTCAGGAATGGGACAAGCAGTCCTTGTACGCTAATCTTAGGGACAGGGACGAGTATCTGGAGGACATCATCGAGGATCTGACGCCCGATGATGTTAGACAACTGATTCTTTATGAGGATGAGCTGACGCAGATGGATAGGTTCGAGAAAATATTTCCTACGTCCACTAGCCACAAGTACCTGCAGTACTTTGAGATTCCAAGGTACTACAATATGCTGTTCGACGCGTGGGAGATGCAGTATGGGGAGAATAGGGAAAGGGGGATATCCAGGTTGCAGGAACTGTGCGAGAGTAAGTTTCATTTGGAGCCGTAGCTTCTCGTCATGGGAGTTCGGGACCTAAGCGATCAAAGTGTGAAGCCTTTCTTCATTTTTTTTTTTTTTCTTTTGTATGCAATTGTACAACGTATATGAGATGTCGGGTTTCTCCTGCCGCGCCGAGGTTGTGAGATGCGTCATTGTATCGATTATTTTGGACTAATAAAGCACTTTACAACGAGCGTTTTTTAGTTTTTTTGGTTAAGTTGGATTATGTTTGATTTACACGGGATTTTGTTTGTTTACTTTTGTGGTCACATTTTTTGCACTTTGAATTTTGATAGGTTTGTGCTTGGTAACGTACTAATTTTTTAAGTTTGTGAGCTTGATTGGATTGATAGAAATGAATAGTGCAAAAAGGTAGAGAAATTAAGAATATGTGACAACTTGTGCTAAAATTTGTGGTAGGTTTTACTTTGAAATTTCATTTATTAATGTATCGATTTTATTGATAGGTTTTGTTTAAAATTTGTGAGTTGATTTAGTTTGATATTGGTACATTTTCATTAAAAATTGATATATTGGTTTAGTTTTTGGGACAATTTAATTTAAAATTAGTGTATTGATTTTTTTTAATTGATTTAACTTAACATTGGTATGTTGATTTAGTTTAAAATTGATAGATTGATTTTCTGTGAATTGGTACATTGATAAATTGATTTTATTAAAATTGATGCATTGATATAATAAAAAATTGATATATTGATTTTATATAAAATTGGTACTTTCATTGATACATAATTTGAAATTGATAGATTGATTTTCTGTGAATTGGTACATTGATATGAGTTTTAATTGATAAATTGATTTTATTAAAATTGATGCATTGATATAATGAAAAATTGATATATTGATTTTATATAAAATTGATACTTTCATTAATATATTATTTAAAATTGATAGATTGATTTACTTCATAATTGATAAATTGATGCATTGGTATAATAAAAGTCGATGTATTGATTTTGTATAAAATTGATACTTTCATTGATATTTAACTTAAAATTGATACATTGATTTAATTTAAAAATTCATATATTAATTAGATTTAATAATTGATACATTGATTTAATTTAATAATTGATAGATTGATAAAATTAAAAATTGATACATTAAATGAAAATTCATTAATTTAATTACAATTTTGAGCATTGACTAATTCTTTTTTTTTTAGATTAAAATTTTTGAATTTCTTTTCCACGAAGTGCATATTTGTCTACAACCAAATACCTTCATCCACATTTTGTACAAACATTAATTCCTTGCTTTTTAAAATAATTTGTAAGAATTAGTGCGGCAGCGATGACGTCACCGAATAACAATACAATTAAAAGACAGATTAGAATGATACAGTGTTTATTAAAATTTGTTGTTGCAAAAATTTGATAAACACTCGAAGGACGTATAATTTAAGGAAATAGGTATATATGAAATTATAGTTAATAACCATTGTTCCTGTATGAAATTAATAATAACTGTTATCAAACAACGATGCCTTATGTACAATATAAATTGGTGAACATGTATAATGATTGGAGCCAAGGATACTTTAAACTGGAAATGTATTCTTCCTTTATTTGTCAAAAGTGTAATCGAAAATGCAACTTTTTTTTGTTGCTAGTGTGTATCGTTTATTATAAAATGTTTGCTATATAAAGCGATTTTCTAACTGTTTTTTAACAGTGTATTTCTTTATACTTTTTCAATCCCTGGAAGATGAAATAAAAGTGATGAATTTGAAGAATGTTTTTTTTGTTTTTATTTTCAGTTATGAATTGGAAAAATGAAGGTTTCTTTTTAATACGTTTTTTTAATGATGGAGAAGACTGTTATGTAATGATAAAAAATTGTTATTTCTGATGTCAATAATAAAGGAGAGATATTGTGAAAGTTATTTTAGATGGAATATTTAATTTCGACTTGTTAACTATTATTTAATTTTATTTATCCTGTGAAATGAAAATATTTGTTAAAATAGTAGAATAAAATATTAATTAAATTTCAAATTTTTAATTAAATCTTGGATTATAGAAACAATTATAAAATGTCTGAATAAATGAATAAATATAATTATAATAAATGAACAAATAATTATGATGTCTAAATGAATGAATATAAAATTAAGAAATCAAGATGTCAATTTAATTTCTAAATTCCTAAATTAAAATATTAAGTCGTGTGTTTAAAATGTTTCATAAAAATTCAAAATTAAAAAACTGCAATAACACTTAAAATATCAAATGAAAAATTTCAAATGATCATTAAAATGTTAGCATAAGCATAAACATAAATTTAGTAACTAATTGTTTAATATCAGTCAAAAAATCCAACTAAAATATTAACATGCTAATTAAAATGTTAAATTGAAAAATTAAAATAGTAATTAAAATATCAGATCGATCAAATAAAATTCTATATCAGAATATTAATTTAAAAACGAAATAAACAATACACTAAATAATTAAAATCTAATATGATTAATTCAAATCTAGAATAATTAATCTAATAATCTAAATTAACTAATTAATATAAAAATTAATACTACAAAAAGAAGTAATGAACAAACTTTTTATTTTAGCCTAAAACAAACTAGAGTATTAAAATTAATCCTACACAATCTGAAACATTTAAGATTCATACCAAGATCATACCTAAACTTCATCAAACCTCTTCAAACTTTGAAGAGTTCACCTAACAAACTAATAATGTCTTGCAAAAGCTTGCAAAAGCCTTGTAAATTATCTTCACTTACTGAAGACAATTCAAACATTTCAATATTTCATACTCAAAATAAATCTCGCGTCAAATAAAACAACCTTCAAACATGATGTTTTGAGCCAACTTCTCGAAGCAATCATAATCGCAAACTTCATCTCTTCTGTATTTTTAACCCAAGCTTTTAAATACCACATCTATTTGTTCATAATGGAATCCATTTATACACTCAGCTATGACAAACCTTAAAATCTGATAGAACAATACAAGATTCAAACAACAGCGTCAAACAACCTTCAGACTTGATTCACAAGAGATGACTTCTTGAACCATAAATTTCTCTTTTTCATCCTTAAACTTCTCCCACATTTTTGATCTAACTTATCAAGTTTCAAATACATTCGTCCATAATACAGCCACTTGGAACATCAGACAACGACAAATCTCTAAATAAACAAGAACAATGCAAGATTCACGAAAACAGCGTCAGACTACCTTCAGATTTGATTCACAAGAGATGACTTCTTGAACCACAAACTTCACTTTTGCAATCTTAAACCTCTCCCATATTTTTTATCTAACTTATCAAGTTTCAAATACATTCGTCCATAATACAGCCACTTGGAACATCAGACAACGACAAATCTCTAAATAAACAAGAACAATGCAAGATTCACGAAAACAGCGTCAGACTACCTTCAGACTTGATTCACAAGAGACAACTTCTTGAACCATAAATTTCTCTTTTTCATCCTTAAACCTCTCCCACATTTTTGATCTAACCTATCAAGTTCCAAATACATTCATAATACAGCCACTGGGAACATCAAACAAATCTCTAAATGAACAAGAACAATGCAAGAATGAACACGAAACAGCGTCAAACTTCAGACTCCATCCACAACAGCCAACTTCTCGAATGAAGTAAAACGCAAACTTCACCTCTCAATCTTAACCTCCCCACATTTTCGGCTCAACCCTTCAAATTCCAAGTCTACCGCACTTAGTAATGACAAATCTCGAAATCGACAAGTATAATGCAAGAATCAACGCGAAATCTGCGTCAAAACTGATCCACATCAAACTTCTCGAATCGACCAAAAGACTTTACCTCTCATTTAACCTCTCTACCTATCAAATTCCAAGTTCATCTATCCACAAGTCACCTAAAATATACAATGACGAATCTACGATTCAAGAAGGCGAACCGTGAAAAGAAAATGGCGACTGTGAAGAGGAGACACGACGCGAGTACCTGTACGAGTTGCAGCACGCTGTCATCGGGCGATTACCGGAAGATCGACGAAATGTACGAATACACGGAGATGACCGAGCATTTATTGTCCGTGAAGGCGCGAGTGCGTTTAAGGACGAAGGAGGTCGCGGAGAAAAAGTGGAAGCTGCCGGTGCGTAAGAGCCTGTTCGCCCACGTCCCGCCGTTCATTATTTTCAAGAACCAGGACGGCTCGAAATTGCCGGCAGAAATCTCCAGACACTTGTTATGGTTGCGTACCGGTAATTACACGCCGCGTATCATCGCGTCCACGGTGCTGAAGTCCGGATTCCGAACGATCGGTAGATCGACGGGTAATTGGTGCGGCACCTGGTGCAGCAATCGGACGTACACGAAGCTGAAGAGCACCAAGGCGTTCTCGAAGGTGAGCTGTTTCCCTAGCTGCGTGCAGTTGGGCGACAAGATAGCGATGTGGACGAACTTTAGGAGGATGAAGACGAAACACGGCAGCAAGAGTTTCGATTACATGCCGGTGACATTTGTGCTGCCCGAGGAGAGGAACAGCTTGAGGAAATTTATGAGGAGGAATGATGGGATTTGGATCGTTAAACCGCCGGCAGGATGCGCCGGTAGCGGCATCAGGCTGGTCACTCGATTGCAGGACATTCCCGAACGGAAACCGCTTGTTGCGCAGCGGTATATTTCCAGGTGCGATGATTAGCTCGGTGCGGGTTTTTTGGGGGCTTTTTTGAAGGCGGGTTTTGGGGAGTCTTTGTTTGGGGATGATAAGGTGGGTCGATTATTTGGTGGTTGAGACGGGTTTAATTGGGGGGCTTGTAATTGAATTATTTGCTTGGAGAGGTTTTGTTTGTGGAGTAACTACGTTACTTAGGTTGTGTTCATTTTTTACTTTTTCAGTTCTTCAAATTTTCAGTACTATTTTTCAATTTTCCCATTTTTTAGGTTTCAATTTTACTATTTTTCAACTTTTCTATAGATGAATTTTTACATTTTTCAATTTTGCGGTTTTCAATTTCTTGATTGTTCATTCTTTCAATTATTTAGCTTTTCAATTCTTCAATTCCTCAGTTTTTCAATTTTTCAAATGTTCAACTTTCCCATTTCTCATTGTTCAATTTTTCAACTTATCCATTTCTCAATTTTTTCATTTTTCGACATTGCCATTTTCAATTTCTCGATTATTCAATTCTGCAGTTCTTCAATAACTCAGTTCTTCAACTTTGCAATTTTTCCACTTTTCAGTGTTCGATTTTGCCACTGTTCAATTTTTCCATTATTCAGTTTTAAATCATCCCATTTCTCAATTTTTCAATTATTTCATTTTTCAATTATCCCATTTTCAGTTTTACAATTTTTCAATTATTCAGTTTTACAATTGCAACTATTCAATTTTAAATGTAGAAATTTATGAATGCATTAATATAGGAGTTTAAAAATTAATTAACTTAAAAATATAGAAACAAAAAAATTGAAAATTTAGAGAAATGGAAATTTAAAAATTTATAAATATGAAAATTGAGAAATTTAGGGACGTGATAGTTTGAACATAGAAAATATAGAATTCCAACATTTCATAGTGCCTTTTACCATATAAATTCAAAGTATTAAAAAATATTATTACTTATCATGGTTATTGTAATTATTAGAATTGAATGATTTGACATCTGAAAATTTTCAAAGTTTGAAATTTGAAAATTTGTAAATTTTTCAATTTATAATTTTGGGAATTATGTAATTTGAAAATCCATAAATTCATCATTTCAGAAATTAAATGCCTTGGAAATTTACTAATTTTCAAATTCACAAATTTTCTACTTTGAAAAATTTTTAATCCATGAATTCATAATTTTAGAAAGTAGGTATCTAGAAAATTTTCTAATTTGTTGATTTGCTACTTCTCTGAGTTGCTAATTTGCTACTTTGCTAATTTCCTAATTTATAAATTGTCTTATTTGGAAACCTGAAGATCCATAAATTCGTAATTCAAGACATTAATTTCGACGTTTGGAAATGAGCTAAACTGTTAATTCGCTGATTTACTAATTTGCTCATTTTTAAACCTTGATAAACCACAAATAAAACCTCTCGAGCGATATAAAAATTTCTAAATATCTTATCAATCACTATGAAACCCTCCAAACAAACCCATTCAGTTTGCAAAATAATTTAACATTGCACCCATCATTTGTCCCCCAAACAAATCCAGTAAAATTGCAGAATAACCTAACATTCCACCACCTACCATTAAGGCCCCAAACAAATCCAGTAAAATTGCGGAATAACCTAACATTGCATCACTTACCATTAAACCCCCAACCTCTTCAATCCATACACTAACCAAATCAATCTACTAAAAATATTCCTGAAGAAATTACACCTCACCCATTCCCACCAAAACTCCCCAACTAACTTCCCACCTAAAACTCCCAACCTAACTTCCCACCCAAAACTCCCTTCCAGACCGCACCTCCTCAACGGAATAAAATTCGACATCCGCCTATACGTGCTCCTAACCAGCATCGACCCCCTCCGCATCTACCTCTACAAGGAAGGCCTAGTCCGCCTAGCCACCGTAAAGTACGCCAACGACGTCACAACCCTCTCCAACCGATTCATGCACTTGACAAACACCAGCGTGAACAAATTCAGCCCTAACTTCCAGCCGAACGACGACCCCGATTCGTGCAAGGGCAACATGTGGTCCCTGCGATGCCTGTGGAAGTATTTATCCAGCATGGAGAACGTGAACACCCTGGAACTATGGAGCAGAATCCGCGACATCGCGATAAAGACGGTGATATCTGCCGAGGCGGCCATGTTTACCGCCTGGAAGAAGACTTCGATGTCGCCGTACAATTTTTATCAGCTGTTCGGCTTCGACGTCCTTCTGGACAAGCAGTATCGACCCTGGCTGCTGGAGGTGAACGATTTCCCGTCGATGGAGCCTGATACACCACTTTGCGAGCTGGTGAAAGGTCAGCTGGCCAAGGACTATTTGAACCTGGTCGGTTTCCATGTGCCCGACCTGCTGAGCGACAAGGAGTTGAGGCTTCTGAGACTCATCTGCAAGCAGCATGGTGTTTGCTACAATCGACAACTGTATCCTGGAGTGCTGACTTGGAAGGACAGACAGAAGCAGTATGTTCACTCGAAGATGAAGAGGAAGGAGTACATGAGGACGATTCTGAAGAAGCTGACGCCGGACGATGTGAGGGTGCTCATCAGGCATGAAGATGAGGTGGCGCAGACGGGGAACTTTGAGAGGATCTTTCCGACGCCTAATACGTTTCGGTATTTGGGCTTTTTTGATAAGGTTAGGTATTATAATTTGCTGATGGACGCGTGGGAAACGGAGTATGGGTATAATCGGAGCGCGGGGATTGAGAAGTTGAGGAAGCTTTGTAAGAGGAAGTATCATTTGACCTGAGGGGATTTTGTGGGTGGAGATTAGTTGTAGTCATTTGGTTTCGTGAGCTGGGTTGTGGTATCTTGGTGGATTTGTGAGCTTGTTGCCGCTTGGTCGTTTGCATTCTTTTGGTGGTTTGATAAAGTTGGATTGCAGTCTCTTAGTGGTTTGGTAGACCTGGGTTTCTTAGTGGCTTGATGGAGCTAGGTTGTAGGACCTCTTGGTAGTTTGCAGTCTTTTGGTGGTTTGATGAAGCTGAATTACATTATCTCTTAGTGGATTGGTAGAGCTGGGTTGCAGTTTCTTAGTGGTTTGATGGAGCTAGGTTGTAGGACCTCTTGGTGGTTTGCAATCTTTTGATGGATTGGTAGAGCTGAGTTGCAGTCTCCTGGTGGTTCGTAGTCTTCTGATGGATTAATTAGACTGGGTTGCAGTCTTTTGGTGGTTTGATGAAGCTAAGTTGCATTATCTCTTGGTGGATTGGTAGAGCTGGGTTGCAGTTTCTTAGTGGTTTGATGGAGCTAGGTTGCAGTCTCTTGGTAGTTTGGTGGATGAGGATTGCACTATTTCTTGGTGGATTGGTAGAGCTAGTTCACAGCCTCATGGTGGTTTAGTGGATCTGGTTTACAGTATTTCTTGGTGGATTTATAGAGTTGAGTTACAGTCTCTTAGTGCTTCGCATTCTTTTGGTAGATTGATAGAACTAGATTGCATTACCTCTTGGTGGATTGGTAGAGCTATGTTGCACTCTTTTGGTGGTTTGGTGATGCTGAGCTACAGTTTGATGAAGCTGAGTTGCACTATGTATTGGTGATTTTTTGGATGTAGGTTGCAGTATTTATTGGTGGTTTTTTTGGATGTGGGTTGCAGTATCTATTGGTAGTTTGGTAGAGCTGGATTGCAGTGCCCCTTGATGGATTAGCAGAGCTAGGTTGCAGCCTTTTAGTTGTTTGGAGAATTTGGAGGTGGATTAAAGCATCTCTTGGTGGTTTGGTATAATATCTCTTGGTAATTTGATGAAGCTAAGATGCAATCTTCTGATGGTTTTGTGGGACTGACTTTTACATCTCTTGGTGGACCTAAGTTGCAGTATCCATTGGTGATTTCATGCAGCTGGATTGCAGTATCTCTTGATGATTTGGTGGATTGGTGCAACTGTATTGTAGTCTCTTGGTGATTTATTGGTGCTGAATTCCAGTACCTTCTGATGGTTTGATGGAGCTGTATTCTAGTAAGTTTTGGTGGATTATCAAAGTGGTTCTAGATAAAATTTACCCAAATGAATTACCTCTTTCCACCTTGATTATCCTTGGTCAGAACATTTTCATGTGTTAGTTCACATCTTGAATTATACTATATTAAAAACTTTGTACAATATTAACATCTTGACATATTGATTTACATTCTGATTAACGCTTTTTCATATACTCATATCTTAAACTATATTTTGATAGGAATTTCAAATGTTAACATCTTGACATATTGATTTATATTTTGATTAAACCTTGTTGATATTCCCACATCTTGAATTATATCTCCCTCAAAATTTTATGGTATCTTAACATCTTGACATATTGATTCATACTTTGATTAAACCTTGTTGATGTTCCCACATCTTGAATTATATCTCCCTCAAAATTTTATGGTATCTCAACATCTTAACATATTAATTCATATTTTGACTAGAACTTTTTGCTGTACTATCGTCTTGTACTATACTTTGCTGAATATTTTGTGGCATCTTGACATATTGATGTATATTTTAATCAGAGTATTTTTATACCCTAACCTCTTGAATTATACCTTCATGAAAATTGTGTGATACGTTAACATCTTGACGTATTGATTTATATTTTAATCATCATCTTTTTACTATCTTTACACCTCGACATCTTGAGTTATATTTTAATTAAAGTATTGGAACATCTCGGTATATTGAATTACATTTTGAGCAAATTTTTTTAATATCTTAACATCTTGTCTTATATTTCAATGAAAGTATTCGATCGTCTCGATACACTGAACTACATTTAGCTCAAATATTTTGGATATCTTACCATCATGATTTATACTTTAATTAAAGTTTATACCATCTTGAATTACATTTTGATCAAAGTTGCTTGATATCTTATCATCTTGATTTATGTTTTGATTAAACTTTCCATCTTGGCATCTTGAATAATGTTTTAATTGAAGTATTTTATCATCTTGATATCTTGAATTATATTTTAATCAATTTTGACATCCTGATATCTTGATTTATATTTCAAATTAAGTATTTTATCATCTTCATATCTTGTGTTTGTATTTTGATCAATGTTAACATCTTGATATCATAAATTGTATATTAATTAAAGTATTTTATCATCTTGATGTCTTGAAATATATTTTGATCAGAGTTTTTTAACATCTTAATACCTTGAATTATATTTTGAAATATCTTAACTTCGCGATTATTATTGAAATATATTTTAATCAAAATTTTTATTGTATCCTTAATTATATTGTAATCACAGTTTTATGATAATGAAGATCTAATTAGGAAGAGTGAATATTAATTACATCAAGTACAAAGTATATAGTATTGCATAAAGTATAAATTCAGTAGAAATTTCAAGTAAATAAATTTAAAAATACAGAAATTTGAAAATATATAAATTTTTATTTCTCTACATGAGTAAATTTATGCATTTGAGATATTTAAAGATTTGAGAATTTAGAATTATAAAAATTTAAGAATTTGCAAATTGGTGAATTTTGAATATTTAAATTTGCAAATTGGTGAATTTTGAAAATTGAGATTTGCAAATTGGTGAATTTTGAAAATTGAGATTTGCAAATTGGTGAATTTTGAAAATTGAGATTTGCAAATTGGTGAATTTTGAAAATTGAGATTTGCAAATTGGTGAATTTTGAAAATTGAGATTTGCAAATTGGTGAATTTTGAAAATTGAGATTTGCAAATTGGTGAATTTTGAAAATTGAGATTTGCAAATTGGTGAATTTTGAAAATTGAGATTTGCAAATTGGTGAATTTTGAAAATTGAGATTTGCAAATTGGTGAATTTTGAAAATTGAGATTTGCAAATTGGTGAATTTTGAAAATTGAGATTTGCAAATTGGTGAATTTTGAAAATTGAAATTTGCAAATTGGTGAATTTTGAAAATTGTGATTTGCAAATTGGTGAATTTTAAAAATTAGGATCTACAAATCTGAACATTCGAAAATATGTGAACTTGAATATACATCAATTTGTAAATTTAGGAGTTTAAAAAATGTGAAAACATGTGGATTTCAGAAATGTAAAAATTCAATAATTTCACAAACTTGAAAATTTAGGAATCTGGAAATTTGAATAAAATTACAAATTGGGGATTCGAGAAATTATAAATTTTGTAAATTAGCAAACCAAAAAATTTATAAATTCATAAACTTCTCTATTCGTAAATTTATAAACTGAAAAAATGTGAAAACTTGTGGATTTAAAAAATGTAAAACCTCAATAATTTCACAAACTTGAAAATTTAGGAATCTGGAATTTTGAGTAAAATTACAAATTGGGAATTCGAGAAATTATAAATTTTGTAAATTAGCAAACCAAAAAATTTATAAATTCATAAACTTCTCTATTCGTAAATTTATAAACTGAAAAAATGTGAAAACTTGTGGATTTAAGAAATGTAAAAATTCAATAATTTCTCAAACTTGAAAATTTAGGAATCTGGAATTTTGAGTAAAATTACAAAGTAAAATCTTGAAAACTTGATATTTCATAAATGTACAAAATCCAATAAAAAAATATGCAATTCGCAAAATTGAAGAAATTAAAAATTAACAGATTCGAAAATGCAAAAATTTCCAAAAATCTCAATCATTTTTCTTACCATAATTTATCAGAAACATTTACCCAAATCAACTTTCCCTAAATTTGATATAATCATCACCAGACATTTTCTCTGCAGGCATCGAAGTCTCCGCAAACTCACAGCACACCTTCCTTAAAAATCCCCATTCTCTTTCTTTCATCAAAATTCACAAGGTTTCATAATTGCTCGAAACCAAGTGTCCGGATACTTATAGACCGTAGTGTAGATTCTAATTAAGATGCGATACTATACGCTGTTACGTATCAATTTGCAGGTTCCAAAAATACTCGGTAATTCGCAGACTTAAAATATAATCGATCCTTAAAAAGTTAGAATCGTCTCTTAAAATGTTAGAATCGAAAGGTTTCACGGTTATAAAAGCGGCGGGTTTAATAAATCCGTACTGACGATTTAATGTCTCTATTGTGACCGCGACGGTAGCGGCAACTGAACTTGATTAGGTTAATACGAAAGGGGACCAGATTTCTTCGCTTCCGCCCTTTAAATTCAATTACCAGACCGCCGGTTTAAACATCGTGTATCAGTTTTGTCCGGAGGAAGTGCGATCTGTGATGAGTCGACGGAATCAATTATGAGAAACGGTTGACTCCGGCAGTTTTTTCTTATCGGTTGGCAAATTTATATACGTGTCATCTTATGTGCAGGGTGGTCGTGTCACTCACATTCGGTTTTGTAGTTTATACTGTAGGGTATGGTTTTTAGATTTAATTGTGGGAAAATTGATGGGAACGTTTGGGAAATCGATAGGGATGTTTGGGAAATTGATAGGATTTGTAATAAATATTGATAAGGTTGGTGACATTTAGGACATTTTTACTAGTGATGACGTTTATAACATTTTTAATGACAGTTTTAATGATATTTTTATGACAGATTTAATTGTGGTAACGTTTGTAGAATTGATGACATTTGTAACCTTGATAGTGAACATAAGATTGATAATATTTAGTAACATTTACAATATTTATAAAGTTGATAACATTTATGATGTTGATTAGGTTTACAAAATTGATATTTGTAACACTGATAATGTTTATGAAACTTGTAACATTTGCAATGCTGATAATCTTGATAAAAATTGTGAGATTTAAACGTTAACAACGTTTATGAAATTGATAACATATGTAACACTTATAATATCTGTAAAATTGATAACATTTGTAACCTTGGTA